TCCTGCAGCGCCTGGGGACGCCCAGCCAGCCCTGCTTGGCTTGCACGGCAGGTGGGAGCGGGGACCCGCTTAGGGCTCACAACGTGCCCGTGACGTCCCGTGGGCAGACGTAGGTGCGTGGCGCCTGTTGGCTGAGTTGGGGTCTGACTGATCAGTGCAGCAACGCCAGGCCGCGGTGAAGGAAAGCCAGGCTGCGCGGCTGCTTGCCGTGGGCACCCGCCATTCCACCCCTCGGCATACGGGCCCTTAGTTGTCCTCACCCATGGCCTTGCTCTGCACACAGAAGCAACCGTGAAACATGGTTGGGAATTGCTGCACGCTCCGGATGCGCATGCGAGCAGGAAGGTCACCTCGCCACCGCGCGCACACATAGGAGCTGCATTTTCCATGGAGCAAAACCAGCCGCGCTTCCTAACCCGTGCCTGCCCTGCTGCCTTCACACAGCTCGCTGGTGCCTAGATCGTCAGTGCCAGTCTAGCGCTTGCACAAGCCCCTCGCACTGCCCCTCCGCTGATTAGCTGGTGTCTGAGCCTTTCCATAGCCCGGAGCTCCTGTAGCCGGTCCGTCTTCAAAGGGGAGACGATGTCTCGTTAGCATCACCTGCTGCAAACTGACTTGCGTTTCAAAAGGTCTGGGGTAACCCTAAGAGTGCCAGGCCACCCATGTAACATTGGACCCCGGGGCACCGGCTGAAAGAACCACAACAGCCTGCCCCGCTTCTGCCCCATGCTCGGGCCTCGGACCTGCAGGCAGCAGAGGCCAGGGGAGCTGCGCACAGGACGTTTAGATGTCCACGGCGCCTTTTGACAAGGGAGCCACGTGAAAACCGGCTCAAGCCCGGCCGTTGTCCCCACGCCAGAGGTTCAGAGCAGCTGCCTGGGCTGCGGAGCAGGGCCCGTGCGGGGGAGGGCAGGGCGGCAGGGCTAAAGGCCCGGGCAGAGGAGACCAGCACAGTGTCCGAGGGGCTGGCTGCCCGTGGGATGTGGCTGCAGGGCCTGGGCAGCCCGCACGGCCACGGCCACGGCCAC